ATAATTAAAAATATACAATTAGTTAATAATAATATTATTTTATTAAGATCATGAAACGCGATATCCCAAACTCAGGGATATTTGCGTCGATACCTCTCTCTACATCACAACAAATCGGCTATATACAATCCTGTTCAATTCATTATTTTTTACATAATTAACCAAAGAAAATTGTCCAAAGAGAAAAACAAACAACAAAGCAAAACACACAAAGCAAGCATCGCAATTCTTTTCCTTCTAAGTTTCCCTCTCCCTTTTCCAATTTAAAAGAAAGTTGTAAATAAATTTGCAAAATTGATCAAAACTTTTACACCTCTCTTTATCGTCTACAAATTCATCAAGCTGTCCAATACGACCAAATTTGTTTTCCCTATAAACCCGGAAAATTGGGCATTCCATAAGTAGATGTTTCGAGTCCTGAATACACAATTAGTTGTTATACTGTATATTCCGACAGATGGCGCAAGCCATCAGCAACTTATATTTACACAATCAGGAGATGTCTTTTTCTTAATTTATCTACCTGATCCCAGTACAGTTTTACTTTTGTACTGTTTTTAAGAATGTCAAAGCCAATAAAAATCATTGGTGGTGGTGTCTTGTCCATGAAGCATATCAACTCGGTCCGTGCACCCTGATCACAATACCGGCCAACTGAGGTGCCTTTTCTGTATGGATGTCCTCTTCTGGATTGATGTCTGCCATATAGAGGACTGCAAGGATGACCGGGTATATATGGTCCGGAGTGAGTTGGGTGTTGTCTTGTCCATGGAACAGATCAGATCTGTCCGTGCACCCTGATCACAATACCGGCCGACAAAGGTGCCTTGTCCGTATGGATGTCTTCTTCTGGATTGATGTCTGCCATATAGAGGGCTGCAAAGATGGCCGGCCAACTGTATATATGGTCCGGAGTGAGTTGAGTGTTGTAACAGTTATTGGAATCTATGGTGGTGGTGTCTTGTCCATGAAGCATATCAACTCGGCCCGTGCACCCTGATCACAATACCGGCCAACTGAGGTGGTGGCGTCTTGTCCATGGAACAGATCAACTCGGTCTATGCACCCTGATCACAATACCGGCCAACTGAGGTGGTGGCGTCTTGTCCATGGAACAGATCAACTCGGTCTATGCACCCTGATCACAATACCGGCCAACTGAGATGGTGGCGTCTTGTACATGGAACAGATCAACTCGGTCTATGCACCCTGATCACAATACCGGCCAACTGAGGTGGTGGCGTCTTGTCCATGGAGCAGATCAGATAGGTTCGTGCACCCTGATCACAATACCGGCCAACTGAGGTGGTGGCGTCTTGTACATGGAACAGATCAACTCGGTCTATGCACCCTGATCACAATACCGGCCAACTGAGGTGCCTTTTCTGTATGGTGTCCTCTTCTGGATTGATGTCTGCCATATAGAGGGCTGCAAGGATGGCCGGGTAAATATGGTCCGGAGTGAGTTGGATGTGGAAACAGTTATTGCAGTTGCTGTAGGATCTAGTCATGTCTGGGTTTATCTTCATTCCTTTAAAATGTCCTGTTCTGATTCTTGAAAATTTTTGTTTTTAATTCTCTGTTAATGTTGAGGTTGCATATTGGCTGGGGTATTTTGGTTTTTGTAAAGAGTTTTGCTTTTGCTATTGTATTTGCGTCTTTCAGTATTATTGAACTGGATTCCAGTGCCTGTTTTCGTGCCTCATTTATTTGTATATTTTAAAATATTGCCCACCCCCATATTATTATAAACATTCTAAAAATAATATTTTGGGATGTTATTCAGTAACCGTTTACGATTCTGCTATTATACTTCTCGATTATACTTCTTTAAGTCTTGGGAAGATAAAAAAAAAGTATCGTTTGTTGATAAGTCAAGAAGATAAGACAGCTAATTTGGGAAACGGTTTTAGAATCAAAATATCAATATATAAGCGTTGAATGCATTGTACCAAGTATTCCCACTTGGTTATCTCGTGTGTCTTCAATAAAGGTCACTGTGTATCAAATATGTTTCAGAGTTATTTTCTGAATCTTGATATACATGCTAAAAGGTACAACTTCCTTAAGTTTTGTCCATGAGTGTATCTTTCAGAGTTATTGTCTGAATCCCGATATACATGCTAAAATGTACACATTCCTTAAGTTTTGTCCATGAGTGTATCTTCCAGAGTTATTGTCTGAATACCGATATACATGGTAAAAGGTACAACTTCCTTAAGTTTTGTCCATGAGTGTATCTTTCAGAGTTATTGTCTAAATACCGATATACATGCTAAAAGGTACAACTTTCTCAAGTTTTGTCCATGAGTGTATCTTTCAGAGTTATTGTCTGAATACCGATATACATGGTAAAAGGTACAACTTCCTTAAGTTTTGTTTCTCCACAAATGTACTAGGTTTGTATTTTATTGAATTCAACCAAATTAAACGGCGAAAGATAAACATAAAAAGTATTTTCTATAAAACCTTCCGTATTAAATTAAATTATCCTTACAAGTTAACGCTACTTTGCATTATTAATAACAACAAAGACTTTTGTTTTTACACTTGATAAAATTATTCTGGTCAAATTTAAATAAACCTTAAAAAGAAGAGAATAAATTTAGAAATCCACTAAACTCTAACACAGAGTTTATAATACAGTGTTTGTATTTGATTATTTCGAACATATGTTAACGGTAGATCGATTCAATTCAAAGATCCTGACTCATTAGTGGTAAACTCTTCCAGCAGTTGCAGTCGTGGTGGCCACAATGTTTAGAGTGGGTTCAGGCGTGATTGGGATTACACAAAAGGACGAGACATGTTGGATGTCACCATAAAGATGGCGAGAGAGTAAGTGAAGCCGACACCGGTCAGGACAGATCTGTAGAGAGAGGTATTTCAATCATCGTGTCTCCAAGCGGACTAACCTGTTTGAGCAAGAAGGGGACACACCTGGTACCCCGACATGTTTTTCGGACCTTTTTACTCTATCGGCGCCGGCTGTCACTCAATCGAATTTTATTTTTGTCGTTTTGGTAATTATATTATAACTATATAACACATGAATATAAGTACATATTGGTATATATTACAACATATATCTGATAATTTAAAACCTCAGTCACATTCTACCATGTCCCTGCCTATGTTCCACCACCCTGTACCAAACTTATAACTACTGTATAACATGATGTACTGTTAAAAGCCAAATAAAGTACGGATTGTATGTCAGACAGACAGAGAAAAACAAGGAGATAATACGATTATAGATATTAATAAAAGATTGCAGTTAGGTCTAGAGTTAAGAGGAAAGATTCCCATCTCGCATCATTAGCGCTAGGTCAGCGACACCTATATTCCAGAAAACTCCAAGACAAAGGACCCCGGAGTTGAATTCGCTGAAAACAACTTTATTCAGGTCAATGCTCCATCCTCACATCTTCTGCTATGACTATCAAAGATGGCTTCCCAGTCGTTTGGACCAATCAAGGCGATTCTTCATCTTCCATGATGTAATGAATGACCAATCAGAATTTCAATAGAGATCATGTGACACCACCCGACTGGGGAAGTCTCAGTAGCGTCTCCGAGTCTCATCCGTACTAGACGTGTCTTCTGATCCAGCCTAAATCGCGGGGCGTAAGCTCACTCTCCTCCATGCTCTCTGTCTGTCAGCATCGGTTCTCTTGACCAACCAATCCTGTGTCCTCACTCCTGCCATCACGACTGCAAATTCACCCCAATCCCAACTTCCAGTTGACAGCACCTTCGCTGTCACAACTATCACAGAGTAAACAGAGAGTCGGCAAGATTCCACATATATATATATATATATATATATATATATATGGAATCTTGCCGACTCTCATGACGTGTCAAAGCCGATTTAAATGCTTGGTTGCGTTGTTAAATATTGCTGTTAAACAATTTAAATACGTATATATATATATATGTTATATAAAAAATGAGATTTATGTTGATTTTAATTATCTTGACGATTATGCTATAGTAATGCAGTCGTGGTTAAAATCTTGAAATTATAATCATAAAAATTGTGTCAATCAGTAATTGCTTTTATTGCTTTAAAAGAATATATTAAAAACATAATTTGGTAAAAGTACTACCTGGCTTAAGGTGTAATTATAAAAAAATGAAAAGCTTATTTACATAATGTACAAAGGATTTGAGCCGGCCATCGGGAAACAACAACAATGAGTTTTTATATAGGGAAAGTCCCGACATCTAGTGGTAGATATAAACAGAATATTTGAATCAATTAAATATAATTTAAAACAAAATAATATTTTATATAAAACACACACACACACACACACACACATATATATATATATATATATATGTCGTGATAAAATGGAAGGGTGCAACTGTTATGCAATGTAATCCCCAAGAATTAGTTCCAGCCAAGTGAGCAAGGCACCCGCGACGTGCCGTAGCATTCGCCCGCGATGTCTGCCACGTTTATTTTTGTACAGTTTTTATAGATGGATGAATTTGCATAATTACATTTTAGCACAAGCTTAACATATTTACATACTTATTTTGGCGAAAAGAAATTATACATCTTTGATATATATACAAGAGCTTATATAAAAGACGCGAATGTCTCTTTAATTGATCAAATAAACCTTTCTACTCTCCTTACGTCATTGAATAAATATTGGGAATAAAATGGATTCAAGTACGAATGTTTCTTTTATAAATAATACAAACTTCTACTGTTCTTACTGCGATTAAAAATATATTGAAAAAATATATTATTTCCATCCCTGGACACTTTTATTTTTCCGTTCATCATTACTCTTCACAATTCATCCTTTCATACTTCATCCCTAAGGTTAGAAATAATCGTTATTTTTCCTCAAAATAAATTTTGATTTTTCGTTTAAAAGAAACACATCCGGGATAATTTTCAAATGTCGTTCTATAATCATTGGCTGCATTATATTGTATTATAAATTACTTTATTTATTATTTACGAACGGAAAAATATGTCCAGGGTAGCTTAGTGGACATGGCATCTGCCCGGTAAGCGGAACACTGTGGGTTCGTTTCCCATCCCTGGACAGTGAATAATTATACAAGGTCATGGAGACTAAATTTATTGAGAAAATTCACAATCTTGGTAGGGTTGAAATATAGGTCCTGTATAATACAATACAATATAATGCGGCTTGTGATTGTAAAACGACATTTGAAAACTATCCCGCATGTGTTTCTTTTCAACGAAAAATCAGAATTCATTTCAAGGAGAAACAACGATCATTTCTAACCTTTGGGATGAGGGGTGAAAGGGTGAATTGTGAAGAGTAATGATAAATATAGGTCATGTCTTGAGGCTCCCATACATTCCAAGAGGTAGGCTGATAAGGCCGCTTTTGGTTCTGTATCTCTCAAGGTTGTATTGGGAAATATGGAAATAAGTAATATTTGACCTTCCTTTGTGTTTGCTACTGATTCAGCCAAGCTGAAATGTCAACATTAGTCAGCTATGTAAAGTGTCACTTTTTACTTCGGTTATGACAAACTACTTCTTTATCTATTATTTTTACATATTTCCGATGTTTTTATTGATCCAAATAATGATCATCGTTACTTCTCATATATATTGTCTCAAAGTATGTATTATTTTATTATCAGAGTATCATTTTTGATGTTTATACTTTGGTACTCTGTAAACTTCCCTCTTTACTTATCTTTTTGTTTAACATTCTTAATTTGTTCTTGCCTGAAATAAATTGTTGTCTCATCCTGAAGTTGGTCGTCCCTAATTTTCCATGTGGCAATATTTTTACTTGATTTAAATCTCCTAAACATGGATTAAAATAATAAAACATATTTCTCTGTTGTTGAGTTTCTTTTTTTTTAAATTATTATTACAATTATTTTATTTCCAAAGCGCTATATCCCGCAAGGGATACTTGCGCCAAACAAGGAGAAAAGTTTATTTACATAAGTTATTTACATTATTCAACGCATGAAAACATTAGAGATCCAGATTTTGTAGAAAGTTAAGAATGTATTTACAAAATGAATTGAACTTTAAATATGATTTTTTTTATCGGAAATCAAATCGTTAAGTTCACAAACAACTAGTTCATTCTTCATTCTATAATCTTGAAATGCTGGGCAATCGATCAGTAGATGTCTTGAGGTTTGTTCCTCAATACCACAAAAGCAACTTGAATCCTCCACTGCCTTTATTCTATTTAAAAAAAAAAACTTTGAAATTTCCGTGATTTTAACAAATTGAGTATTATAAAAATTTGGACGAAAGTATTTAGGGATTTCTTGGGGAAAAAAGCTTAAGAAAGTATTATTTGCTTCGTTTTTCAGAACACTCATTCTTGATTTGAGAAAGGTATCTATAATTCCTGGAATAAATGAGTTGAGTTTCTTTTTATTAAATGTAATCTCAAGCTTTCAGGAATCTCTGCCCATCTACAGGAGTACATAAAACGAATAATACAAAGGTCATTCCAAAAGTGTTTGCAATCAATATTAAGTAATTAAAATATTAAAAAATAAATTATACCATTAAAATCTACATGTACCTTTTACCTAACATAAACATTTTCATAAAATAATAACAGCAATGACTCATATAGGGCGCGACTTTGTTTACAGCGGCACCGGTAATTTCTAAATTTTGCATCTGACACAATGGAGTTGACTAGAGAAAGTTTAGGTGCCATGATGTGACCCTTTGTGAGTGTGAGCGACCCTTGTAATAATAATTATTATCATTAGAATTCGAAATTATTTTAAAGGCGTAAGATTCTCTTTGAAAATAAACAATTTCTACTGCCCTTACTGCAATGGAAAAATTATGGGAGGGCCTGGCTCATCAGTGGTGAACCCTCCCAGCGGTTTCGCCAGTTTGATCTACCATACTGCTGTTATATTGCATTTTTGGAACCTCCTTTTATAGTAATACTGTTGGTAGACTCATGGAATGGGTATTTTAGAAAAACTATGGATATAAGCTCCCATTAATTTTTCCATTGCAGTAAGGGCAGTAGAGATTGTTTATTTTCAAAAAGAATCTTACGCTTTTAAAATAATTTCGAATTTTGATAACAGATGGCGTGCTAGTGCATAATAATTATTATCATTATATATATTATTGTCAATATTCGGGAGGGAACCTTGAGATTACTTTGAAAACAGAAAATCATCTCCAGAGGTCTTTTGTAGAATTTAAAGTTATCATATATCAAAATTAAAAATAGACATAGAGAGAGATATCTATGTATAAATGAATAAAACAAAGCTTCAAGGGCTGCGTATCTTTTATTAGAACGAATATAATACTAGCTTTCGGGCACATACGCCCTTCTACAGGAATTAATGAAACAATAAACCGACTAGTTTGAAATAGGTTTTATATACACATAACTATTGTTTTGCATATCACGCTCAATTTGAAAAATATTAAAATGTTTGAATTTACATGCAGGTGTAATGATTTGGAAAAACTAATTCTAATTAATATGAGATAATATGATACATTTTGGTTAAGGCAATCTTATTTTCTATTTTATATTTTATATTTTACATATTTTTATATCTTGCAAGGAATCCCATCAGACATGTGATATCTTATACTGTGAATGACTTTGTTTTATCTTATTTTATTTAGGTCTATTGAATCATATGCTTTTGGTAAATCAATTCTGCGATTTATACTGCTATATTTTTTGGACACTATTTAACTTAAATGAACCTAAAGTACTTTAGTTCATTTAAGTTAAATGTGTGTCCTGTTGAATTGGAGTGCTGTACTATTAATGATAATGGGTCATTTCTGTTTATGTTTCTTCTGTGTTCAGTGATTCTATTATGTAATTTTCTTCCCGTCTCCCCCACATATCTGGCTTTACAGTTATTACATTCTATAGAATAAATTACCTCTTTTCTATATGATATATATTCGGTTTGCCTGTTTTTTTGTAATCGGGTTTCTTAGGATATCTGATAAGTTGGGAGAGTTGCTATAAAAGGTTTTTATTCCATATTTATCTAGTGTTCAGGAAATGTGAATGGATTTCGGGGAATATGGGATGTAGCAATTTTGCCTGTATATTTTAGTTTTTTGTGCTGACATGTTATATGTGATCTGTGCCTGATAGAAATGTTTTAAAATAAATGTTTTGGGGTAACCAGCTGATGTTAAATTATGGATAACGGTTTGTGTTTCATGCGTTTTGTATTGATTTAATGAACAATGAGTATGTGAATTCTTTTAGTTAACGTTTTCACTGTGTTAATTTTATGACTAATGGGGCAAAATGAAGAAAATTTTATATAATTGGGGGGTGAATGAAGGTTTTTAGTAAACTGTAGTTTGCAATCTATTGTCTATTTTCATTATTTTAATATATAAAAATGGCAATGTGCAATTATCTTCTTTTTCTATTGTGAAATGTAAGCTATTGTTATAATTGTTGAGTGAGGCTAATATGTTAGGAATCTGTTTTTCTGTACAAATGCAAAATATATCATCTATATATCGTCTGTATAATATGATGTCTGCCGGGTATGATGAAGTGATCCAATTGTCTATTTCTCTCATAACTATTTCGGCTAATGGAGTTGATAATGGGCTTCCCATAGGGGAACCCTTGATTTGTTTATACTGTTTATGGTCAAAAGTGAATATGTTAACCTTAAGACATAATGTAATTAAACCTATTATTTTATCTATTGTGTTAGAATCTATCATATTGTTATTTAAAAAGGTTTTTGTAGTTTCAAGTATTAAGTTATGGGGGAGACTGGGATATAAGTCCTCTACATAGAATGATATATCGTACAGGGTTTATCAATAGATACCTATGTGAAATTTATGTAGATGCTATGAACACTACAAAGCTTCATTTTAATAAGATCAACAAGCAAACCAAGACTATCTTTATCTACAGTAGAACTCCTCAAAAATTCGGAAATTCTGAAATTCGGAAACTCCCAAATTCGGAAAGTATTGTAATGTTTTTTTTTACATACAAAAAATCAATTTTCACATGCTTTTATTTTGTTGATATTTCAACATTATTTTATTTTATTTACTTTTGCTTTGCTTTTATTTTATTTAATTTAATTTTTATTAGTAATTTATTTTTAATTTAAGTGTTTAATTAATTTACTTTTACCGATTATTTATAATCACTAATTAGGGGTTTATCCCCTTTTTTAAAAGCTTAAATAAATCAACAGTTTCATTTGACCTTTGTGCTTAGTTTAGGATATTGTCCAATAAGAAGGCAGCATTATTACGTCATAAGCCATTCACGCATTTTTTATTGCAAAGTTGATTCACCTAAAGTTCAAATTATCAAACATTTTCAGACATTGTAAGTTTCAAATTCTTTTATTCAACTCTCAATTTTTTGCATTTACAAGTTTGTTCTTCAACAAAATGGCATCCAAAGAGGAGCGGCAAAAACGAGGCAAGTACCGAATTCTTAAGCTTGGTGAAAAGTTAGATGTTCTTAGTGACATTAAAAAAGGATTAAGCTATACAACGATAATGCAAAAGTATAAAATTTCTAAGACAACTGTTTATGATATAAAAAAGTCTGAGCTTAAACTTACAAAGTTTGTTGATTCTACCGAAAAAGATGTCAAAAAGTTTTCTCAAGTAAAAAATCCGTTATACGAAAATGTTGATAAAGCAGTTAACATCTGGTACGAAAGTCAGAGATTATCAGAGGTTCCTATTCGTGGTATTGAACTCCAAACAGCTGCCAGTCATTTTGCATCAAAATTGAATAATCCCACTTTTAAAGCTAGTGGTGGATGGTTGTCACGATACAGAGCCAGACATAATTTGAAAAATAAAAAAGTTGTCGGGGAAGCGTTGTGTGCTGACGAAGATGCAGCTAATCGCTTTAAAGATGATTTTCACAAACTAATGACTGACGAAAAGTATGAACAGTTCCAAATTTATAATGCTGACGAAACAGGAGTTCACTGGAAGTCATTACCCGATAATTCTCAAGTAAAAAATGCAAACAGCGCTAGTGGTCATAAGCAATACAAAGATCGACTCTCTGTTTTACTTTGTG